TATTCACCTTGAATGATTAGTGAATGACATTTCGTCCATTGATTGGCGAGCTGGTGAGTGGGCACCATCCACCGAACCAAAACAACGAGGCATCTACTCTCCCAATTCATTGTGCCGATGGTGATAATACCGATTACCACAACCTCACTTTAATTTAACAGGTCATGCTAATCGCCTTCTTGCATCCACTTTGGTGTAGCACAGAGCCGTCCTCGTTAATCAGTCGCACTGGATTGACGCAGACTCCGTGCGTCAACACTGAGACGCGTGCTAGAACACGAATGCGAGTGAAGAGGGAAGTGTTTACTAGCCACCGCCTCAATCCGGATGTAAATGTCATTTGCGGCGTTTTACATTCACATGAGTGCTGAATCGCAATGCAGGGCTGTGATGGATGGTTAGTCAAGGCCAATCATTTAACGGAAGAATAAACTTTTGAGGGTGGAGGATAATAAGGTTTGGTGAAATGTGGCACCACTTACTGTTGTGTTTGGACTAACACCGGTGCGTCTATCATCCGGCACTTATTATAACTTCAAATAAAAGCAGATTTGACATGGTGTGTGGATGGCAGCAGGTGTCATGACTAGGCCTTGTGGCTTCTTTCTTTCACCCGTGTTTACACCTCAATTGCATCAAATACCCGCCGTTGGCTAAGTCACTGCCATTCGTGTCACCACTGCCAATTGTGAGATTGGACTGCGCAAACGCTGTACCCTTCAAGAGCCATGATGTACGTGGTAAACACGATTTCTGATCGCCAATGTTTTGTTGCTCAATCTCGTGTTCTATCCGAGTCACGCGTTTATGCCAGCCAGACTAAGCTGCCGCTCCACACCTTGGATTCCATAAGTAACAAAGGTACTGTGATTACTCGCGGCGGTAGTGCCTGACCTCTCCACCGTACGCTGAGTCAATTACAAGTGCCAAAGGTGAACGTGGATCACCCACAGGTAAAAGCCTCAAATCCGACCTAGAAGAGAGTGTGAGACACCAGCATCAGCAAAGCATCCATTTCACCTTGATGGCTTTCCTTCATCAAGTAAACTACCTCGTGTCAACCATTCGCGATTGTTGCAGCCAATTGGCAATACGCGGTACTTGGTGGTGAGAGACAAACACTACCAGTTCACCGACGCATACCAATAAATTCACTTTCACTGTTCATGAGGTAATATGAGAAGTTCACTATTATTAGCTGCCACACAGACAGGCTTTCCGTGGTCGATGCAGTGACCAGCAAGCAAT